CCAGCTAAAGCTGCAAACATCTTTGTTTCAATTTCACGCATATATTGTTGTGTAGCTTTGTTCATTTGCTCAGAACTCAGTGGAACTGTTGCAGACTTTTCAGGGACAACCTGTCTGCTACATCCTTTTGGCACCTGTGGTCAGTTGGAAATCCACTAAGAGGCGACTGCTAGATGGCCTTCCTCATCAGCCTGAGTTTGCAGAACAAATCTATTGAAAAACCTCAGTTAACCTCCCCCTACCCCTGCCTGGTGACTTATTTCCTCCAAGGAGGCTAAACCTCTTAATCCTTTCAAATAGTGTCATCACTCTCTGGTGACCAAATATTCAGATCTATGAGACTTTGGGAGCCATTCTCATTCAGGCTATCACTTCTGTTGTCCCCAAGTAAGAATGAAATTATTGTATTAAGTCCATTGTATCTAGCTCTCTTTAGAAGAGCCCTGTTTTGCTTCTGGGAGTTGGCTATAGGCAGGACAAAAAGACAGGGAACATTATGAGCATGGGCAAAGTCTGAATGAAGCCTCTAATTAACTGAAGGATTTCAGTACAGGGAAAATATTTCTTTTATGTTGAAATACTGATAAATCAGGGTGAAGGCCAGATCATGCATGACCTCAGGAATAGCCTCATTCCTGCCCAGCATATTTTCTGGGAATCTCTAAAAGTAGACTATTAGCTTTGTTTATAGTAAGGATAACCTTGTTTCTGGGTGTATATCTGGAATTTCTCTGTAGTCTCACTTTAGTTCTTAAGCCACTCTTTGAAGACAACAACTTTAAAAGTCACTAATGTCCCCTATGTGATGGTTGTACAAACAATGGATTGTGCCCCTCCTACCCCCTTTGAGAAGTATACATTCATGTGCTTATGTGCTTCTTATCTTTTTCCTAGTGCTTCCTTTTAACCCTTATGATTAAATATACATTAAAATATCTTTTAGCATACTGTCTTGTACTGGATCTTCTAGAAATTCTTTCTGCAGTAAAGCAAAGAATCTGACTTTACTTGCAGGAGATATGATTAAATATACATTAAAATATCTTTTAGCATACTGTCTTGTACTGGATCTTCTAGAAATTCTTTCTGCAGTAAAGCAAAGAATCTGACTTTACTTGCAGGAGAGTCTTCAAAAGACCAATAAATGGGTAAATTGAATGAATAGACAGTTTTCTAAAATGGAAGTACAAATGGCCAACAACAAACTTATGTTTAATACTCTTAGTCATCAGAGAAATGCGAGATCAGACTACTTTGAGATACGACCCAGTCAGAGAGCTATCTATCATGAGCATGTGTGATAACAAAAGTTAGAGATGATGTGGTGAGAAAGGAACCCTTATTCACTATTGTTGGTGTGTAAATTAATGTAGCAATTATGGAAATCATTTTAGACATTTCTCAAAACTCAAAATTAGAAATACAGCATGACCCAGCTATTTCACTCCTGGGCATATACCCAAAGAACCGCATGTCCTACCATAGAGATATTTGTACCCCACATTTATTTTTTGCTTTATTTGCTATATAAAATAATTTGAATTAGCCTACTTGTCCATCAACAGATGAGTTAATAATAAAAATGTGAGCAGGGCAGTGGTGGCACATGCCTTGATTCCCAGCACTCGGGAGGCAGAGGCAGGCTGATCTCTCTGTGAGTTCAAGACTGGGCTGGACCGACAGCCTCGAAAACAATACAGAGAAACCCTGTCTCATAATAACAACAATAAAAATAAAAATAAAAATGTGACATATATATTACATACATTATAAAATTTGTGGGAAAACCATAGGGAAACCCACTATTCAAAAACTTCATATATTTTCTAAATTCAATTACCATATATTAAGAATCATGTTTCTGTCTGTTAGATACTAAATTAAAAAGTTGGCAGTTAGTAGGATCCAAGAGACCTTCCAAATAATGCAGATTTTTGCCATTTATCTTGGTTGCCCATCATAACTTTGTGGTAAGAGTCTATGGAAGAAAATACAAAATATTTTAGTCACACAGAAATCAGGCTAGAACTGACCTAGAAGCTTCTTTCAAGCTAGCTATCTTTTAGAGGCCAGAAAGTGTTATACAGATGCTGGGGGAGAAAAGGTAACATCTTCCTCAGTTATGAGTACTAGGAATTAGAAAATTTACTGTTCTGGTAAGATATGATAAGGAACAATAGTAGCACACATGCTGCTGGGGTATTCAACCACTTTACACAAAATCTGAAACCTGTTCTACAGGAGGAAGCTTAATCATGTTTGGTACTGTAAACTTTGCCAAAGTGCACACTTGAGGAACTATAGGCCCCAGGGATAACCCTACTAGTATCAAACTGATTTCCAAAACCATACACGTATACCCATAATTAGTGCAGTTCTCAGTCCTTCTCAAAGAAGCATGTTTGTGCAGTTGATATAAATACTTAACACCTGATGAAGGCATGGAGAACAAGTTGTGTGGAATGCTCTGCTATAAATGGGGCATGAATATTGCACCTCCTTCCCCCAGGCTCAGAAAACATGGACGGGTAGGTGGATAGTTTTATTTTTATTTATTCTTGGAGAATTTAGTACAGTATATTTTTATTACATTCTTCCCTATGCCCAACTCCCCCCAGATCCTCCCCTACCCATGCCCACACAACTTCATGGTTTTTTTTTCTTTCTCTTAAAAATAACAACTACAACAAAAAAAAATAAAAAAAGAGCCACTATAATACATGGAGTTCTATATGTGTGATCAAGTGCTCTTGATAATGGGACCTCCCCTAGAATGAGGTTGATACACTCAGTATTCCAGAAGGGGGTGGAAATATCTTAAGAGCCAGAGGTCAGGAAAGATTAGAGGAAACTTGTTTTCTGGACATGACAGGGTTATTGCCCTCAGGAAATCACAGCATCCATGATTGCCTACACAATATCAAGCCAGACAACATTCCAGCATAAATATGGGAGGCTGCAGAGGTACCCGCCCCTAAATGATGAGCTATTGACAGCTGACAGCTCCCAGGGGAGGGAGAGTCAATTTTCTTTAAAGGTGTGGTCTTTGATAGGTTAACAGTACCAGTGGGTGGTGCCACATTCCTAGGTATATGAGCAGCACTAATTGGACTTTAAGTTATTAAAACAAAAAGACACTAAGTTGGAAGGGGATACTTAGTGAAGGGGAACTCAGAAGGAGTTGGTAGGGAGGAACTAGGGATGTGTGACTATGATCAAAATACACTGTATACACAATGTTCTCAGAGAATTAATAATTATGCTATATTTTAAAAACACTTATATCAAACACCTCTATTATATTTACTTTTATGACCTAATAAGTTTAAACAACTGGTTGACCTTCCTGTCACACTCATTAGCTTCTTAGAGAGGGTTGGGCCCGCATGAGACCCTTCCTCATTCCTAATGGGATGTTGATGGATGCAACTTTGTACAGATCTTGTGTAGGTAACTACAGATAGCGTTTCACACAACTCTTCTTTCTCTGGCTCTCACATTATTTCTGCCTTCTTCTTCCTCAATGTTCCCTAAACTCTGGAGGGGATGATATAGATGTATTGTTTAGACCTGAGCTGGTCAATATTTCTTAACCCTTGAATTGTTTGAAAAGACACTCCCAGTTCTAAGGAGTTTCTTTCCAGCCAATTTTCCTTATTTGAATTGCTCTTCATAGGTTGAAGTTTTATATTCATATCAAAGTTCACAGTCTCTCTTTTTTAGATATGTTTTTGAAGTGTAACCACCAGACATGGACATAGAATCCATGAGCCTTATGACGGGCCCAGGAAACAGAGCCATCAAAGATATATGATTTGAGAATAGTTTATAATTATATATATATGCATATATATATTTTTTTTAAAACACAAATCAATTTTTTTCCTTGTGGACTTACAGACTGGTCTATCTAGACATGGCAACTTAGAACATTCAATGTTTAAAATAATTTTACCATCACAGACTTCTTTAATGTTTGGTGCCCTTCAAATGTCCTCTAGCATCACAGATAGGATGCTGGAAGCCATCTTGCATCCATAATTTAGCAAAGTATTTAGTGAGAGTTGTCAGGCAGAATAGCGTCAGGCTTTTTCAGCTGAGTCAGTTGCCGAACCATAGCACCCTCTAGTGGTCAGAATTCAATTTCCAGGCTGGAACATTGGCACAACACCAAAAGTGAGTAACTAGACAACTCCCCTTCCACATTGTAAAGAACTTCACCATGGTGATTTCCAGCTCAATGGCTAACAGATTCCCCAGTGTGCTATAGATCTCGAAGCCGCCCCACCTCTGTCAGCTCTCCACTGCCTCTGTCAGCTCTCCACTGCCTCTCCGTCTTCGACTAGTTTTGTGTAAACTCAGAATCTCAAGCTGCTTCTCTTTTATTTTTGTTAAGTAGGTGTATACCCTTGGGAATACTCCGTTGTTTCTATTTTATTTATTATTATTGAATATGGACACGGAAGATCTTTAAATAAAGGGTTATTATTTAGATCTCCCACTGGAGAAAGTCAAGGCATAGCCCACATGAGGTGGCGGTGGTTCAAGGCATGAGCACTGACTTTAAGGCAAGACCGGGGCTTAAAGTCTGAAGGAGAACCCCTGCAGCTTACTTGCTGTGGTGTTCAGTCGAGAGGCTTTCATTTTTATACGTTTACTCACAGGATAAGAAAAACCCTGCAGCGTTAACGATGGCTCACAAAGTTCCTTGTGTAGAAGTTTTGTGAGCTACACAAAGGCTCACACTCAGTTCCTTGGGTAGGTGACCCCCTTTCCCCCTACCAGATCACTTCCTGGACATGGCATTGGATATCTTAATCATCCTGACGAGAACTCAACTCATTGCTCATGTTCGTGCTCAACTGTGCGTTGTCATTACCGGCAACGGATGATTTTACAGGCACAATGAACTCACTGGTGAAATTTAGTCTAGCCTGGTCTTTCCTGGGTTCCCTGCCCTCACCCACGCCTTTGAGCAGAAAGCTTTGGGAAGAACAAGGTGTATGCAGAGGCGTTTATTCAACAGAAAGGCTCTCCAAGCATCGTGGTAGTCTTAACGAGAGTTCAAAATCTTGACTTTCAGCAAGGCCCATAGTTTTTAATGAGGACAGGAACCTGGCGTTTCCTGTATGAGAATTGAAGAAAATAAATAATGTTCAACTTGCATTTATTGGCCCAAATGAGTGACTATGGGAAAATGGCAATGAAACAATATAATTGCACCTTAAAAAAAAAGAATAAATCTACTCGATTTTCTCTTTCTCCAATTCATTTATTCATTCACTTATTCATTGAACATTTGTTGCTTTCTATTATACTCACAAGGGGTACAACAGAATAGAAACATTATCTATCATTACTGTTTACAGACCGCATGGGTTGTTACTGGGAACCCTTGAAATTAATCGCAAGTTCACCCCTGCCACTTTTACTGCAGATGCTGAAAACCTAGACACCATATGGAAATCTTAACTGGTGCCCAGGCTACAATGGGACCTGCTAAGTATTTAACATTTCATCTTGGAAGATGGGGGCTTGAATCTGTCAGTCCAGCTCGGGTTTCATAGTAGCATTCTTCCTCTTTGGAGAAAATCTCTGCGCTTCCCATGTTACCATTACCAAGCCAGTTTCTCTCACAAAACCCAATTGTCCCTCAACCCTTAATCCTTAGTTACCACAAGACTGCTTCTGGAGTTATCTTTCTAGTCAATGTTTCCTTTAACAGACTGGCACACAAGAAATGTTCTATTTCCCTGTTATTGCATCTGTTTTCACGCGTGCATTTTCTGGACCCATTGCTTCTTCACTTTAACATTAACTTACATAGTGGCAATTTCAAAGTCACTTACATATCCACACTTGTGCTGTTCACTTGGGTTCACTCTGCCCATTAGCCACGTTGGGTTATTTATACTTAAAAGTTTAACAATATTAAAGCTTCAGTTTCTTAGTACACTATCTGAGCTTAAGAGCCAATGAGTAGCACATCTGACCAGTGGTTATGTATTGGCTAGCACAGACAGAAAATGCTTCTAGCACCATAGAATGTTATGGCAGTCATTGCTTTCCTATAGAAAAAAATCGTTAACAGCTTCCCTGAGAAAGTACGGAAGACATATAATGTACTGACTTAGCATACCAGGCAGGCACCTGCTACACATGGGACTTATCATAGAGAAGGTACTTCTGGTGCTTTCTGAGCATCTCAAACCCCAGTAGTTAGGATCAGAGCCTGGCCTTAGTAATAGTTACCACACAGGTAACTTTTGTGCTACTTTGAATTATTACATTTTTAATTAAAATATAATTACATCACTTTTCTTTTCCCCTTTCTTTCTTTAAGCCCTCCCAAATTCCTTCATTACCCATTTGCTTTCAAACTGATAGCCTCTTTTTCTTTGATTATTATTGAGTGTGTGTGTGTGTGTGTGTGTGTGTGTGTGTGTGTGTATACAAATAGATACAACCTGGGGAGTCCATTTATTTGTGTGACTTTTAATGGGTAATCAAAACAAAGGCACCATAGAAACCCTTTAACACCTCTTCCATTTGAGGAAGACAAACTTGTCTGTAGACTTAAGTGTTATTTCAGAACACAGTGAGACATTGTACTTTCAGGCAGCTGAATGTGCCTCTTATATTCACACGTATTTGAAAGAACACAAAGAGCAGATTGCAACCAGTAAATGAAAAGGCCAAAGGAGAGCGTGGTCAGCATTTTGCTCATATTTTCCAAATGCTTTGCTCTAAATAGAGGCCTTTAGAGTTTAGAGCTTACATTTGGAGATTTCACAAGTCTCAAGGGTGTTATGGGACTTTCCTCCTCCCCATGGAAGGAAATAATGATGCTTGACCTTAGTGTCAACAACATAGGTCATGAGAAAATTAACAAATGGTTTCAAATGGATTCTTTCCAAAAACCCTGAGCCAGGGCCTCCACCTGTAGCCCAGGCAGACAGATGAAAGGACAGACTGGCTTAGAACTCAGGTTTCACGTGCCTTGGCTGTAGGGCGGGGATAGCAGGCATGTGCTGTCACGCCTGGCACCGTTTACACACTGGAAACACACTCACTGTCAAGCTGAATGCCTAGTGTGTAGGGTTAGAAATGTCTACAGTCCTGGATAAACTCTGAGAAGTTTCTGAAATCATTTAGAGTCATCCCAGGAGAGTTTACATTATAGAGAAGAGATTGTTGCAGAGGAATAACGCCAATTTATTGCCACTTGAGCCTCAGCTTAAGTCTTTAACATGGAGTCAGTTCTAGAAAATCCAAGTGTTTCCCGTCACTTCTGGGATCCCTATTGTTTGGTTGAAACTCAGAGCCTCATTTAAATGGCATTCTTTTAATTAAGCCTTTATTGATCTTTTCAGTTAGGAGATATTTATATCTTTGCTTTGATTGTGTAACACTTTATACTCTGTTTTCTGTCAATCATCGTGACTTGTAAGGAGCTCTTACACATGCCTATGAGGTGGACTTAGTTGCTGCTGTGTGCTTCTGTCAGAAGCTCATGGGAAACAAGGAGGGCCTATCATAATGACTGGCACATGGTAAATGCTCAGTCATAGTGTAAGAGAAAAACTGTGACACATCTGTTTGTCCCAGTGTCCTGAGTCTGATTCCTGTTTCCAACCTTAAACATGTCAGAACATTAGAAAATGCAATCTTGACTATTGTCAAGATTGTTTTGAAAAGTAAAGGTATTTTGTATATTTAGGATTTTTGAAAATCTAGATTATTAGTTGTATTGCTAAGAAAATTAGGGGTTTTATCATCTAAGCCATTTTAAGTCATGTTATCATTACATATTTATGAAAAGAAAGATTTATTTATTGATCAAGGCTTTAAGAGGGTAACATAAGTGAAATTCTAAGTAAGCTAAAATAAATACTTATAAATTAGACTTTATCCTCACCTGTTTTCAGAACACAGGGTGCATTCATTGGGGTAGGTAACTCCGTCCATCCCACACACAGGGTCATACATTCTGGGACATCCCCCAAGAGCATCATTGCAACTAGCCTAAATGTAAAATTAAGTACAGTCACTTTTCTATCATTTCTCAATGTTTGATCTTAATGAAATATTCATTTTTTAGTTTTTGTTTCAATCAGGATTATGACACTGGATGCTGCATAACAAACCAATAACAATAACCATAAAAGCAACATACCCTAGAATTAGAAAATCTGATTTAAACTCAGGTTATGGCCATTTCCTAGTTACATAACGTGATTAGTCTGCTAATTTTTTCCTTGGTCTCAGCCACTTCATCTGCAAATCGGGAAAACATCAGGTCATGATGCTTCAGTCATGATGCTGTGGGGAGGTCGGATAAGAGGAGGAAGATAACTTTCAAGCTCACATTTCCTGTTGTTCTGACTTCCTTAGGGTCATCGACCGACAGGATAGTTAGTCTTCCTTGATGATTATCATCAAACACCTTTAATAGGGCACTGTCCTATTTTTATGTATTATTCCATGGGAAAGTCTCACCCCTTAATTGTGACTGTCAATTACCCATTCATTGATCTCCCCATAACTCTCTTGTAAAGTTATCACTCCACTCTTGCTCAAGGGAAGAGTCACACGAAGTGATGATCGAATTAAAGTCATATATATAGTGATTTTTGGACCCTGAATTCCAGTTCCTGGGTGTTATGTCACCTCTCCATTTCAGGACATTGACCTCCAGCTCTCTTTTGCTGACACTCATCCATTCTTCATGGATCAATACTTGGGGGACCTTTCTTCGCTTCTCTAAGAGCTTGCACAAGAAATTCTAGAATTAAGAAATAATACATCAAAAGAAATTATAAAATTTTCTTTACCTTTCTCCCCACTAAATTAGCTGAAGTGTTACCTAGAAAACATAAATCAAACATGTCAACGAGGATTCCAAATAAATCGGCCAGATCCATCCTTGCTTAGCAAAAACTACAGTTTTCATAGAGTCTTCTTTGTTTCCTCTGTCCACCTCCCGCCCCTTGTATTTCCACGGACCCTCAAGGACATTGGATGGGTTCTCTCCACTCTCTTGCTAAGATCATGCAAAGAACTAAGTAAAATTTTGACTGTTACTAGGCATTTCAGTTTGACATTTCTGAAAATTTGATCCACTTCCTTGACAGTAGAAATTATATTCTGAGAGTTTGAAACATTTAGGCGCTAGTTATTAATATACCTTCTGGATATCCATCAGTGTTCTCTCTGCATCCAATAGAACTTTCATCTCAGTCAGTGAATCATAAATATCCATACTGTGAGTGTGGGTGGCAGTATGGGAAATAGCCATCAGGTCTTGGGATGTAATTAAGCTTCTTTTGTAAATAGTGTTTAAAATGGGGCCTTTCTGCCAACTCACCATCAGTTCTCAAAGAGCTTTTTCCCACAGGTGCATTATAGTGACTGACTAGAGTTTCAAACTGTCTTTTGTGTATTTACATAGTTCAGAAACGGCTCCATTCTTCAGAAAGCAAGTCTCGCTGACATCAAAGCACGTGATACACGATACATATATGTAACAACAATGAAATAAAATGGAATTTGAAAGAGAGCAAGGAGGTATATGGGAAGGTTTGTAAGGAGGAAAGGGAAGGGAGAAATTATGTAATTGTATTCTCAAAAATTATTTTTAAGAAAAGCCGATGGTAACTGTGAATCTAGATGAGTTTACCAGGGAAAGGAATCTAATATAATAGCCCCCAAAGGAGAAATGTTCCTGAAACTTAATTTTCAGTCAGTGATCTCCGAAGGAATGAAAAAGATCTCTAGGATTCATCAGAGAAGATGCGGCTGCTGGGGTCCCTTTGGATCCAGAATGTAAACATGTCTAAAAGTTGATGAGCAGGGGCTCATTACAGGCATCTAGTAGTATTCATTATTAGGCTTGAGGTGGAACAAAGGGCTCCTTTCTTCCATAAATATTTATCTAAAACAATAAGCAGTGGCCTTCCACATCTTAGCTTAGCACAGATGTGGCTCTAGTCGAAAACTCTGCCCTATCAGAGGTGGAGGTTAAAGTGTTCATTAATACCAGTTACAAAAGGCCAAACTCATCTATCTCAACCAGAACCATTTCCCAACATTCTCATGCTAAGTTTGAGGACGCCTGCATCTGTTCAATCATGATGTTTTCTTTCTAAACATCCTCTAGATCAAACATAAAACTTTTAATCACTCAAAAATATGACCGCTATGCGAACTAAATGGCAGGCATTGCTATGTAAGTTCATAAGAATTTCGATCTTGTAAGTTGCCCTTGTATCGTCTAGTGACCATTTGTAGGGTTAGAAGAGGATTGCAGATTGAAACCCTTTCTGCCCTACCACATCCCTAATGACGTAGCAGCCTTGTCTTTAGATCAAGTCATGACTATCTCTAGGGATGCTTTTCTCATGTATATGAGAAGTAACTTCTTTCTGGAATACACACTAGAAACTCTTCTTTTTGGTATTCTCTCCATTGATTTCATTTCCACCCACTGATACAAGGGAGCTAGCGCTAGACTATCTAAATTTCCAGGAGATACATTCAGTAAAGCGACAGACGGAAACTTTTTACTAACTTTTGGAGAATATGCAAACACACCTACCTGCTAAACTGAGCAGGACCATGGCACTAAGAAAGACAATCACCGCCTTCATGGCTGCAAAGGTCAGGAGAGCTCTGCACTGTCCTTCTCTGCAGAAACTGAGTGATCTTATAGACAGATGGCAGCAAGGCTCCACCCACTGTGCTGTATAATAGACATCCTTAGTTACTGATTGACTCTGTGAGGCCTCCAGACTGGGGAAAATGTCATCTGGGTAGGAAACAGGGCAGGAAAAGCTGGACCCACATTCTGACAGGAAAAGCTAGTTAGGTTTTGAGACATCCTCCCCCTTTTCCTGAGCCCTGGATTTCTTATTTGTAGGCAAATGCAAAGGCCCTCTGTAGTTCTGGGTGGATAAGCAACAGTGGAGAGCTCAAAGACATGTTCCATCCCTCCCTTTTCTTCTTCTCTTCCATCCATGCATTTTGATCCCCCCGTTTGTTTCTCTCTTTCATCACCGTGTACACACATCAAGGCTTGATAGGCTGATGGCAGGGCGGGGTAAAAGATAAAGAGGGCTCAGTTCCCCTTCTCCCTGCCTCCCCAGTTCCCTGTCCTGAGGCTGTGTATACTGACCAGAGCAGTGGCCTACCTCTAGAGAAATTGATGCACTTTCTGATAGCCAATTTATGCATTTGAAAATGAGCGTAACAGGAATAACTAACTCACAGGGTGGATCCTCCACTAACTGGTATTTACTGGGTGGTACTTTCTATTTTCTTTCATGCTTCTGCCTGTGTTGTGAGTAGAGATATTCATCATTTTGTTTCAGAATATCTTTTCCAGGGTGTTTTAATAGCAGTTTTGACAAATGAAGTGACGTCTCCCTTTGCCACAAAGGGTAAGTTTTTTTTTCCATCTAGAGTACTACAGAATATATATCAGAGCAGCACTACAGTGGAGTTACTGCTCTCTGAAAACAACTTGGACGTTTTTTTAAGTTTGGTGTCCTTTTCTCACAGCCGAGGACACTTTCTGTGTAGATGTCATATGGTCCTACTTACATCGTCTTTTAAGTCATTTGCCTGACCGTTGGAGCCTGGCTTATGTCAACGTCCCCAAATGGTGGCTGTGTAATGTTTTGGCTAGCCAGTAGCGTAAATTCCCAGACCTTCTCCACATCTTCAGAACTGTTAAACACTACCCATCTTTTGGGATATACCAAATGACATGGAACACCATGCTTCATGGAGCGCCCACACTTTTCAGTTGATGGAGACAGACAATACGCAAGAGTAACAGATTATAAAAATCAGATTATGACAAATGTATGGAGAGGAGTATTGAGATGCTAGCGGAAAATGACGACACCTAGCACAGCCGCTACACACCTCTAGGAAAGGAATGGATGACTAGGTGGCTTCCAAACGGAAGGAAGAGAGGAACGGAACTATGAGCAAAGCTATGAATATCCGTCCCAGGCAGAGAGAAAGTCCAGGGCTAGGCTCTGAGACAGAATCAGCTGATGTGTTCGACGTCGTTGAGCATGACAGTCCATTTTGAGGGAAACGAGAGATAAAAGTGGGGCACGATGTGAAGGATACAGTAGAGCCCGAGTCAGGAGCCTGCAGGGTACTGACTTCTGTGAATGGGAGAACTTGGGGAAGTAAAGTTTGATAGCTTTCTCAGGACATCCCATAGGTACCTCAAATGTAACATGCCCTGTGCTATTGTTTTCATCGCTTAGCACCGTTAGATTTTTTTCGTTATATTCCTCATTGTTTCTTTTTATTTCAAAGCCATTGCTCCAACCAAAACCTTACTATTCATTTTGACGATTCCATTACCAATTGCCAACATCTGAAATTTTTTCTCACCACTCTCTGTCTCTGTCTTTGTCTCTCTCTAGGTTCTATGTCCAAAACTTATGCAATACTTGCATTCATGTCTGCTATTGCATCTTAGATGACACCACCACATCCATGGTGGCTTGGCACCAGTTCCTCCATGTGTTTTCTCCATGCCTTGTTTCTTCAGAGATCTGTCCATGCAACAGTCTCTGCGGAAAGCAACTACAATCATACTTCTCTCCAGTTTTTCATTCATCAACATCTTTTGGATGAACTTATATTTCTTTCTGCTTCTCTTGCTTTATCTCTGGGTGGCATCCTTCTTACTCTCCCAGCCATGCTGGAAATTTCTTTGTTTTCCCTGGACAAGAAGTAAAGCACAAACACCTTCATTCAGACTTGAAGACCCATTAATAAGCATTTTCTTATCAAATGTTCCCTTTCATGTTTCTCTGACTCCTCCTTAACTTTATCCTTCATTTACATTCATTTCTCTGGTTATATATTTCATAGTATTCTTCATATCACTTAAAATGATTTTAGTTGTATGTGCTTGAGAGATGAATTTAATAATCTAAGAATACTTGATGCTCTTTCAAAGGGCATGGGTTAGATTCTCACAACCCATATTGCTCCTCATTATCATCTATAACTTCAGGAAATAGCAATTCTGACGCTTTCTTCTGATCTTGACTGCTTCAGTGCTGCATGTGGTGTACAGACATGCATGCCTGCAGAAAAAAACCTTGCATACATACCAATTTAAGAAATAATTTAAAAATGTATACCTCCCTATAAGACTGCTAGAAAAGATCTTTTAACTTTTAGGGAACACATATGGTCATTTTGATTTAGCACCTAGCAAAGTACCTGCAAAGCGTTGGGTATGAAATAAATACTTGCTGAAAATACACATTCAGTAACATATAAATATTCTGATTTTTCCAAAGATCAAAGTTTTATGTCTTGTTTATCCATATGTTTTCAATCTTTTCAATCGGGTATTCCATTCTTGGTTCATTTAGCAGTTTATTCATTCAAGTCTTGATATAATAAAAGTATTGTTTGCTTCTGTCTGTACACTTTCATTTGCATGCTTAGGACATGGATATGTTTTCTGCCACCATGAAGTACTTCTTGAATCAGCAAAACTCTTGCTTCTCATCTCATTTCACCAACTGTGTAGTGGCCATATTGCTGGCAAGAAAGTTTCAACAGCCACTGTTAAGGAAAGTTCATACTCCAGAAAAGGATTATTCTTTTGTTCCAACTCAGTAAAGGAATGTCTCACAGTGTGGAGGAGGGAGTTGTCTGGGCTCTTGTCCTAGACATTATTTAAGTAATATAGCAGTAGTTGAGGCATTCTGATCGAGGCTTGCTGATTTTAGAGTCTGGACAGTGATTTTCACACATTTTGACTCTGAATCTGTAGGGAAAAAATCATGTTATAATGGATTGATAAACAAAATCATGAGGAAAGAAAAATCAGTTTCATTATGGCTTTGGATTTTGATTCTATTCTGATTTATAATTCACCAGTCTTCACCTGTGCCTTGGGAAACATTTAACTGCAGTGTGAATTCCAAGACATCTTGTGATTCTGAATGGTACAACATGGTTACTTACCATGGTTAGAAATTGCCCATGGGACTGAGATGGGAATGGTCTTTTAGTGGCACCATGTTGAAGGCAGTGAAGAAAGCCTGTGCAGAAATCAAGGCAGGCCGAGTTCCAATACTAAGTCTGTTTTAGCTGCGGCGTGACACTATTTCCCCAGCAAGATACACATTAAAATGTATTTGCTTTGTCTTCCTCTTCTCCCCCTCTCTTCTAGAGTAGGTCATGGGGGAACAGGAAGTTGAGTGGGTGGGGGTAGAATAGGGGGAAGAGGGAATCATAGGTTAGAAGACGGATCAGGCACCAGAGTGACCTCTAGTGATCTAAAGGGATAACACCAATTGGCAAGCTAAGTAATAGTGGAAAGACCACCTCGAATGCCCATTCCTGATAGTGAACTTGATGCCTATAACCATCTGGGAGCCTTCATCCAGTGGCTGATGGAAGCAGAGGCAAACACACAGTTAAACACTGAACTGAACCCAAGGAACCCAGTGGCAGAGAGAGAGGAGTGAGGAGCAAATTGGCAAAGAATGGGCTGGCAAAACCAGCAGAGACAGCTGATCTGAACAGGGGAGAGCTCTTGGACCCCAGACTGACAGCGGGGAGGCCAACATGGGACTGATCTGGACCCTCCCCAAATGTGAGTGTCAGTGAGAAGGCCTGGGCAACCTATGGGGCCTTGAGCAGTGGATCAGTGTCTATCCCTGGAATACAAACAGTCATTGTGTGCCCATAACACAAAGAGGGATGCTCTCTCAGCCTGGACTCTTAGGGGAATGTCTGGACCCTACCCGGAGTGAAATGACAGACTCTAGATATCCCCTATGTGGAAGGAATTGGCAACAGGGTGGGAGGCTGGGGGGAGGGGAGTGCAGGAGGAGGGGAGGGAGAGGGAACTGGGATTGACATGTAAAACAAGCTATTTAAAATTAAAATAAAAAATGATATAAAAATGTATTTGCTTGGTAGCAGAATAGGCTTAGAATGTGTACATGTATTCTCTGTATCTCTGATGACTTACCTCCACCAGCTGCTCACAGACTTCTGTTGCTTAGCCTGCCTAATTTCTAGAACCTTTCCTCTCCTTTTATTCTTCGCCCTCCTTCTGGCAGTTGCCAAGAACCACAATTTACCCATTTTTCAGAAAAAAATACAGTGTTTCCTTTTGAGATTTTTAAATTTTCTTAATCTGCAAATCTGAGAACCTGTTAATGGATCCCCCATATACCCCGGTTACAATACCACCCAGGACCTTGCGTCTATGGGACTTTCTTTTTATATAATGCGTCCGGCCCCTCTGTCATCATTTTGTCCTTCACAACTGTCCCATGTTTGTTAATAGTGTGCACATCAGGTGGTAGTTATCAGTCTATTATGTCTTCCTTTGCTGTTTCCAGCATGTTTTTTGACTCTGTAAAGACTGCTAAAGAGTGTGGGAAATATACCCCAATCTATCCCTTACATAAGTGGGGTTTTTCTAAGCATAACTCTAACTGGAGTTGAAATGATTGTTTTTCTCCTTCCTTAGACTTGTTTTTGACAGACAATGAATTGTGAAGACATTGAGATGAGCATATCACAGGCATCAAGGAGGCTGATCTACTGAGATATATCCACAGATTGTTTCCGATATTTATCAGACATTTGTTTTATGGTTGTCTCCTTCCTGTTGTTTGATTTCAGTAAATGATTACCACAAACCACACATA